GTATTTATCCATATACCTGCAAAGTAGTGGGTATCGATATACAGGCACATCTGTCTACATGCCCGTAGTTTAATTATATGGTTACTGGATTGAGACGTACCACCACCATATTTCGCAGGACAAAATTTGATTCTTCTTCTGGCGAGATATTCGCAATTGTAGAAGACTATTCTGGTATCTTTAATGACATCCATCTTTTTTTCATACATAAATATACTCCTTGTTAATATCAACAGAAACATTCGGATACGCTTATTCACCATCAGTAACCTCAACCGAGAATTTAAGGCTACAAAGCGAAAATTTGTTTGCTTCATACTCTTTCCTCCAATATATTTGTCATACCGTTTCTGATGCATCGGCTAGAGTCCGAGGCTGCGAATTCTTTCTTGAAGGTGTTATTCGGCCGACTTGGTCGGAACTGATCATTTTCCCATTCTTATCTCTTGCGCCAAGCGAATGCATTCGAATCCGCGACCTCTCGCCAAAGCATTCGTCTTCCAATGCTGAAAGATGCCGGTCCTCTGGTCATGATAGATGCCAAGTCGTGCGTGTGAAGGTAAGTGTACTGCGTGAGTATGATTTGTAGAACTCTCACTGTTTGTGATTCAAAAGATGCAGCCAGCTACATGTGCGCTTACACTATAGCAACTGTGGATAAGCTTTTAGCACACATACTCAAGAGGCGCTACCAAACCATCATTTGGAACCATCCTTGATATTAAGTGTGAGTTATACTTATCCCTCGCAAGTGCTAAGTAAAATTATACAACTTTTGGAATCAGGCACATTAATTGATATTCCCCCCTTCCGTCTCATCGGCAGTAGTGACTTTCTGAGCCATTTGCGCAAATCATTCGGGTGCGTACGCGACTATGGCCCTACATCTGCGGCATATGGCGCTGACCAGCTTCGATTTTGCTGAAATACCGACCGAACGCCCTCAGCGCTTTCACTTGCTGGCTGTTTTCTGGGCATTTGAGAATTCACATGGTGTTGAGCTCATCCAACACTCTACTTACCGAGTACATTTGCATCCGCTAAGTCATGAGAGTGATGATAGCTGCTTCCTTTCACGACCCGGTCTATATCAGATTTTGTTGCCCTGAGTTCCAATGGCTGGCCACCTCTAGAACTTTTTTTTTGAAGAAATAATGGCATAAATCCATGAGCTTGAGGCTCAAAATAAAAGCTCACAGTGCAGATATCATCCTGCCTTCCGTTGAACTATGACCACAAATGCACCTTTCACGTGAACACTGCCATCATCACACTCGTGGTATATATCCTACGAAGCACATCATCACATTCTTGGCATAGATCCTACGAAGCAGAGACTTGTTTGCAAGTGTGCAACGAGGACCTCGCGATTATAAGGCAGAATCAACTCCACATTGAGCATATGTACTAATTTCTTCAGCATCTAATATCATTTCGTCTAGGCGCAGTAAGGCTATGAATGATAACCAATTGGCCAATAGGACCGTTGCAAATTGATTGCGCCTCTCACTCTTAGTATCTTCGATTCGTGAAAAGCAACACACAAGCAGACTCCATCTCAAATACAAAACTCGTACAAAACACATAACTTTGATCTTCTACGACGTGATCTTCGCATCCCCAATACTCTTGAACGCGAAGGCTTAATATCCGACAAGTTCCGCATATTAACATTCGAAGCCGCTTCTTCATGAGCACAGAAACATGCATGCAAAGAAAAAACACACACCCGTACATACATACCACCAGATAAAATACAAACAATAAATACCACCAGAAGTGTGTACAAACACGCACCACGCAAGCACACACACATGTATTTATATGCACACACCTCAAACTTTTCCTCGTACTCTTCGAGTCCCCATCCCCAACTGTCTTCGAGATGTCCTCCGCCCCCCTGGCTTTCTGCGAATGCACTACAGTATTCACATCAACCATAATACCCATATCGCGGAATAAGTTGCTATACGCATCCACCCCAAATTCATCGCTTTTATCCGCACGTTCACTCTGAGGTGTGACTTCATACGTCAGCTCCTTCCTCTTAGGATCGGTGTAAGTCCACACTGAAGACGTTTCGCCCCCGTCGGCATTGCTCGTCTGGCTGATATTGGGGCGAAGACTGTGTTCATTTCCCTCTGCAGTGCCTATCACCCCGGGGGCAGATGAGAGCCCTATAAAATTGTCACTCCTCGTGTTATGAAGTATTGGGTTGTCGGATTTACAACTCTCTCTCGGCCTCTTCGGTGCGCATTGCCTCGTCACGGCGGCGGCGTAACTCAGCTGATTCTCTTGCTGCTCAAACTGGGCGAGAAGTTTATAATCTGTTTGGACAGATACATGAAAAGGTTAAGCGGAATAGAGTGGTTGAGAAACTTGCAAGTGTGTGCATGGATTGGGAAGCGATAGTTCTTACTGGCATTGTTGAATTTAGATTGTGAGTGTGTTATTCAGTGGGATTGATGATCATGATCGGTGGCGGGACATTCACCCAAACATTGCTGAGATGGCCCATTCATAGATTTTTCCGCTTATAGCTGGCAGATAGATTTCGAGGTGTGGTTCATGATTTGAGGTGATAAATAACCCTTTGGACAAAAAACAAAAACAAAACAAACACATTGAATATACAACACAAGGAAACCCTAAACCCTTATGCGAGGGCGACCAAAATTTTGCCCGGCACCTATTATTGTTCCGCGTTTTACATGAAGAATACGATATACGTCGATTATTCACAGCCCAAAACACACAGATATGCCTATTTCGCCATATTCACAAGTTACAGATTCACATACGGTTAATCAGATCCAATTCATGCTGCCGCGGCGATTTCGCTTTGGAGATATTAGGATCATTATGAGAGCGTGGCGCCATGTTCAAGAAATTTAGCATGTGAAATTCATTCTCCCCTACAGGCGATGTTTCTCGAGACCTTGGTGTGAGGCTTTTCTGTCTGAGTATGGGTGACCGCGAACTCCAGAATTTACCGTTGTTCGCACTATGACTCCCATGGATGTTGAGATGTAGTGGCGTCTTGCCCTTCTCTTTCTTATTATGGTGAGATTTGTCCTTCCAAATTTTGTCCTTTTTGTGATTGTCAGAGGCTAGGCTTATATCACTCTCTTTATCACCACCCCCCCGGTTCTTAGGACTTACTTTGAACGGCTCGTACTCCTATCGTATGATAGTGAATAGGTACAGAGTGAGTACTCTGCATAATCAGTCAGCCTGGAGGCTGTATGTGCATAGAGCACCCCCCAGTGCAATACAAAAACGTTATTCCACACCAATAAATACCGGTGTGTTGTCAAAATCTCACCTACAAATAAGATAATCTTTAAGGCGGAAGTATTGCCCACTTATAATTTTTTTACATCCGAACCGCCACTTACTATCTCGAAGATCGGGAACAGGTTCGTAAGGAGCAGAACAAACACTTTGCTCTGCACAATCGAAAATCCTTGGCCTATCCTCCCATTTTCAATATCCTTGTACAACAATCCCCTTTCCTTCTCCGAGAGGTTGACTTCCCGAGGCGCTCCATCACTATACAATACAGGGAAGCATGAATACTTTAAACAATAAGCAAATCGGATATTGAGCAAGATACACACTACCGAGAGCCATAGTACGACCATTCAATTGATGATACACAATACAAAAATACGTATATACACAGATACATGAATACTTGGTTGAATACAAACACGCATATATATATATATATATATATATATATACATAAAATACATGTATATATATAAAATATATATAAAACATATATACATAATACATGTATATATAATAATATATAATAACATATA